ACGCATTCTGATGAGAAACATGTGTGTAAGCTTTGTAACAAAGCATTTAAGCAAACGAACTCATTAAAAGCACATCACAATATTCAGTTAAAAGAAGAATTGCAGGAAAAGTATGAATGTCACATATGCAAGAAAAAATATTCTTATTTAAATAGCTTTCGTATTCATTTAAGTAGTCATTCTATAAAGTCTCATGTGTGTGATATTTGTTCCAAGGCGTTTTTTCATCAACGACTTTTGAAAATGCATTTAATAACTCATACTGATGAGAAACCCTTTGTATGTTATGAGTGCGGCAAAGCATTTAAACTAAAATGTAAATTAACCCTTCATAGTAATGCTCACTCAAAATAAAAGCAATATAAGTATCATGTATGCAGCAAAGCATTTACTCATAGTAGCAGTTTACGCATGCATCTAGTTACTCATTCTGAAAGTAAAACGCACATTTGTAACTTATGTGGGAAAAATTTGCTTTTCTCGTTTCTTTAAAGGTACATTTGTTAACTCATTCAAAACTAAAACCTCATGTTTGTGATGTGTGTCAAAAAGCATTTTCACTTAAAGAAACTTTACGTAAATATCTGCGTACTCATACAAAAGAAAAGCCTTATGTATGTGATGTTTACAACTGTGCATTTGCTTAAAGGATCTCTTTGAAAAAGCACTTACTAAAAAATGCGGATACTAAACCTGATTAGTTATAGATCGTAAAAAAACCATAATATAATCCGTTTTTGTGAATATGAGTTTCACATCTACATCTTTTCTTTTGACATGAATGTGACAATAAATACGATAATGGGAAAAATAATTTTGAGCTAGGACATTATTAATGTAAGAAATGTCTTCCTGAGTTTCATTAGTTCTATAAAACTGCCTGTAAAACTGTCAAGATTTGTTGACATTATAAATATAAGTTATGAAATAAATCAACGTATTATTTGTAATGCGTTGAAATAATTGTATGTTACCTTAAATTAATTTTTTTCTCCTAAAAAAATAGTTTGGGAAACATTTAATCCCTGTAAATCCTACACCTAGGTAGTGGTGACTTGCAGTTGCATTCATAAGGGGAAGGTTTCGGGGCTCAACCAGTGGCATAACATACACCCCTGCATCGCGGGGACCCAAAGCCTTTCTGTTCCCAAGCCCATACCATATGTAAGATCTGGCTTGGGACCCAAAACCTGACTTATCAGGGGGCCCTAATATTCTCCATAAGGCCACCAGGTTCAACCCCCTCATAGAGCAACATGTTTTTAATTTTTACCATAGAGATTGCTCCTCCATGTTTCCAATAACTAATTTTTTAGGATGTTGATCCCCCATAAGAAAGGCCTGTGTATGCCTCTGGTGACTTGTATAGGTTACTGTCATCATCAAAACAAAAACTGCAGCTTTGTCTACTGATTTCTTAAATGGGCAGTAACGTTTCCTCTTGTTTCTGATACTTGATCGATAACATTATATACTATAACAAGGAGAAAAGTAAAGGTAAAATATATGCAAGGTTTCTTCAGTTATAAATAAATAGTAGTACTGCACTTTTTAGATTATTTTGTTCATAAGGTTTGGCAAAGGAAAGAGGATAATCTATGTATTCTTACTAATATTCATGGAATCGGGCAATGTCTCTTATCTTAAGAATGAATTCAAAGCAAAATAAGCTTATTAAATATATATAATTTGGTAAACTTTTTTACATCTGAAAAAGCATTACTTAAGTATGATAAATACAAAGGCAAAATAAATTACCTGGACTTTTTTGAGGGAAAAAAAAGATTATTGCAAAACACATCAATATGTAAGACTTTAAAAAAATATTTTAGAATGAGTATAAATTAACAGTAAATGCTAAAATTCTTACCAATCATGAAAATTGGTGTAATTTCAAATAAACCCACACTAATCGAAACATTTGTAAAATGTCACATCAATTTGCAACATTCTTGTTAGAGTGAAAAATAGTCCATACTTTTTTTTTTGTACACACCTCAATTTAAGTACTAAAAGAACAAGTGATATGTTTCTTTGATAATTTTAACACACTATGACTTATTTTAAATTTCATCTAACCAGAGCATCTGCTTGGAGCCCAAGGTCACGAAAACTGAAAGGGCACAGTAGGATTTGGCCCTCATGAGCTTTTGTGCCAATGAATATAGGTTTAGTTTATTTTAAATTTAAACCATACATTTTAATTTTAGAACCATTCCTTCCTTCCTTGGTGGCATGACAACCCGGGGTGGGCCTTGGCCTTCTAAAGAAGTCTTCGAGGCCAGCCTTCTTTTTAGAACCATCAGAGAATAGAAATGTAAATCAACAATATCCAATTTTGTAAAAATTTAGAAAAATAAAAAAAAAATATTCATACATATTTTTTCCCCTTACTTTTATAGTAAAAAATTTGCAGTTTTTTAGATGATACAAGTATGGAGTTTCTAGATAAAACTCCTTGGATAGTTATTTGAAAATTCTTAAATTTTGAGTATCAGAATTAGAGTTAACATGAGAAATTATCAAGCAATTACATTATTGTGCAATAAAGACTTTCTGAATCATCTGACTTGTCTTCAAGAAATTTGACGCTTCAAATTTTATGCCTACATAAAGGAATTCGGGGATCCCATCCATTTAACATGCAGCAGTAACATTCGAAATGAAAGGTCTTTGATGAAATAAAAATTGAAATTTTGACTCAATTGGAAGCCCATTGGATTTCCACAACTCACATATTCAATTCTAATACAGACAAAATAAATTTAAAAATTACAAAGAAAAACCATGCAAATTGTTAAACTGGCTGATTATCAGTGAAATAACAAGTAGGAAATCAAAATGTTAAATAATTCATGAAATTAAATCTTTTAAATACAATTTTCGTTGCTTTCAAATCATGTCATTTATTTTAAAGAAAATCTATATTTTCCTTTATTATATACTTAATTATCTGATCCTTTAAAATCATTCATTTTTTGATTTTATTTTATATATATTCAAATATTAAATTGCGTAACAGATTTCTGCAATTAACTCCTAGATATAAGGATCTCTATTCTGAGGAACAATTCTATATATTTCTACATCATTTATTTTATATATTTCTTATATATACTTTTAAAAGGCTGCAATATGTAAGCATTAAGTGGTGGGTTCGAATCCCTTCTATGCCAATACTAATTGATTGATTTTAATTTGTCACATTCTGAAATAACACAACTATTATTGGCACCAGACATCCTAATTTTTAACCAAGGTCAAGTGACAAGGATGACACCTTAGCTATGGCTATCCCCTTCTCTAAACTTCTACACGAACCAGAGGTATTTGAACCTCAACTGTCCTTACGTTTTCCTCCAAGATAACTAGGCTAGGTATTCATTCTCCATGCAAGATTCATTTTGTAAAATTATGGCAACTTCATTTGTTGAACTAAAGATAGTCTTGGAATTTCAGTGGTTTTGTGTAGAAGTTGGAATTCTGATTAGAGTGTTCCACTGAGATGTCTTTATTGGATCATATAAATCTGATCCATTAAAATAAAATATACGTTCACTATTCATTATAAAAATCTCTGTGTGTAGCCAAAAAAACCCAAACTTCAAATTGAAATTAATTAAAAAAAAAACGAAGCAGATCTACAGGTGTTTGAAATTTATAACAAGGAAATCTGGTTAAGTCCAGCTTATCTAGGCACCCAATGTATAAACCAGCACTGACTTGAATATACTTTCAAAAATTTATAATATGCAAAGAAAAAAAATTAACTTATCAAACTAATTTTAATAATTTTTAGTTTTGTTACTTATATAATAAAAATTACACAAAATTATTAATCCTATAATAAAATTAAATTTTTTTTAACTAAATTGTTATTCATATAATAATGAAAAGTTATACTCTCTCTGTCTTCTAATTTATATTATATTCTTTTTTTGATCAGAAGTACTCTGTCCTTCATTTGTTCGGGAATAAACTGCTTAAAGGAGGGTTTTTTCTTAAATCTTTTAAAATCAGTCATGAATACAATACAAAAATATTTACAATTTTAAATGATTTACAACATCCAATATAGTAGAACATAAGCTTGTTTTTAACATCATAATTTAAACACCCGTATAGAAAGAATATTTAACTATATACACAAAAAATAACATTTACAAAATAACATCACATTTTAGTATATTGTGTGTGTGATTGAATAATTTTTCAAATTTATCCACCAGGAGAATTTTTATATAGAATACAAATGAGACATTTTAGAATTCAAAATTTTCACTAAATAATCCAACAGAAAAATGCTAAACAATATATGAGCACTATTTAAATTAACTTTTATTTGATCGAAGCTTTTATTTTTAAGTTAATAAGTTGTAAGATATTAAAAGATTGATGTATACAATTATTTAAAAAATGTTTCTGCACAGACATAACTGAAAATTTGAATCACTTTTTTTTCCTTTAGCATAATGAAAATAACAAGTAATATAAAAAAATAATTTTTTTTAAGTCAACAAAGAAAAAGGTTATTTTAGTTGCTTTTTATTAAATAGTTACAATTAATATAAATATGTATGAATCACAATATTAAATGACAAAATAGAAAGCAATTTTCCTTTCTATATATAGTGTAGGACCAGTGGCGCACACAAGGAGGGGGTCCGTGTTTCTCCCCCCAAAGCCCTTCATTTTTTTCAGATTGATTATAATTCTAAGTATATAGTATGTGAAATTTAATATAAGTATTTGCTGTTAATGATTTATTTTAATTATTAATGCTAATTATTTATTCAATAATTAGTTTTTTTCTGTGTTTTGTTTCCGAAAATCGACGAAATCAAAAGGAGCATGATACAAGAATGGAGAACTTTTGACCCCCCTCCTTGAAAAATTCCTGTGTGCGCTACTGTGTAGGACTATTGTTTTGTTTGTTACTATTTATTCATTGATTAAATTTAATTATTTTATTAAAATAGTATAGAAAAAAGAAATTGGGCCATACCAGGTGGAATTTGAACCCATGACCTTTGGATTAAAAGTCCAACGCGCTATCTGTTGTGCTACAGGAACACTATGGACAATTTTTCTATCTATATATGCTGTTGGACTATTATTTTTACTATTTATTCATTTTTTAATGAATTACTATTTGAAAAAACTGTATTAACATCAAGTGTCATCCACTACAGGTTTTAAAAAATATATTTGAATTTGAGTGGATGAATAAGTATATTTTATTAATGATTGAAAATTTGAATAAGATATATATACAGTCGAACCTCCATATTACAAACATCTATATTGCGAATTTTTCTATACAGCAATCTTTTTCCTAAAACGAAGAACATTTCACGATTTTCTTCAGTAAAATAACCACCCTATAGTGGAGTGCATTTTCTATATAACGAACTTTTTTTCTTGAGGTTCAATTTTTTTTCTCCCTATTTTTTAAGTATTTCCGGACATTTCAATTTATTGTCTCTTATGGAGGTCATAAATCTTGAACTGGTTTTATTAGGTGCCTAACTTGTGGACAGCAATAGAATTCTGGGAGTTCCAAGAGGTACAACCTTTAAGCGCAATTGTCCAGTTCACTAGAAACATCTTCAAAATCCCTTTCCCCCTCAGTGGAGTTCTAGTTATAAAATAATGTATGTTTAAAATTACTTGTGTATGCTTTAAATTAGAAAATGTTTTTAAAATTGATATCAATTTTAACAGAAATACAATGTATACCTTGCAGTTTTTCTTTCCATTTTTTTATGGGTAAAATATATAAAATTAATTTACAAAAAGGTGTGTATGATTTATTGTATAGAGTTCATAAATTTAAAATTTGTTTTATGTGGAGTATAAAGTATATTGAAAGATGAACCTCTATATAACAAACTTTTTTTCGGGATTTAGCGACTTCGTTACAAAGAGGTCCATTAGGATCCCCTGCAATGTAAGGTTTGGGCCTCATGTCAGATCTTACAAAGGGCATCAGTCCGGCTTTGGGGCCTGCCCCCCCCTCCGTAATGCAGGGATGTATGTCACACCACTAAATATGTGATTAATCAACATAATATGAACAGGAGCATAGTATCAATGATGCAGGATCCACTTAAGACTAGCTATGCCAGTGAATATAAATAATGTATGCCTATTTACATTTATTATCATACACATAGTATTATCACTATTTTTTTATAATTCACGTTTTGCCACATTTGGGAGGAGTTTCAGAAATAATATTGACAGAAAAATTTGTTAGAAATATTGTAAAAGGGGAAAGAAAAAAATCAGAGAAAATGTCAAAGGAATCACAGAAAAAGTAAGCTAAATACAATCAAAACCTCTATATTGCGAATTTTTCTATTAGTGAACTTTTTTCTGGAACTAAGAACATTTCACGATTTTCTTCATAAAATGCCTAACCTCCCTATAGTGAAGTGCATTTTCTATATAACAAACTTTTTTCCTTGTGATTCAATTTTTTTCCCTCCTTATTTTTAGAGTGTTTCTGGACCTATGTATGATGAAGAGATAAAATTACTTGAAATAATTTAACGTGGATTACAGTGTGAAGGTAATATGCCTGAAGGGGTGTTTGGAGAATTGCAAGAATGTGAAGCCTATTATGAGAGAAAACATTCTTTCAAACAGAAAATTCAAACAAAATTAATAAATTTTACCAGTAATTAAAGGATATATCTGCTAATATATGCTTAAAGTTACAAGATATAAAAAAACAATGTATGTTTAAAATTCTTGCAGACTTTAAATTAGAAAATGTCCTTAAAATTCATTAATATTAATATAAAATTATTTTCTTAGTACTGAAAATACACAGTATTCCTCAACATTCTTTTTTCTTGTTTTCCTTGCAGTTTTTCTTTCTTTTTTTGATGAGCAAGATATATAAAATAAACAGAGAGATATTAATTTACAAAAAGGTGTGAATAATTACTTTTTATACTATATAGTTTTTTTGAATTTAAAGTTCGTTTTATGCGATTCATAAAGTATATTGAAAAAAATGAGCCTCTATATAACAAATTTTCCATATAGCAAACTTTTTTTCGGGATTTAGCGACTTCGTTATACAGAAATACGACTGTATATGAATTTGGAGCTGAAAATTCACACCCACACATTAGAGAAAAATACAAGACAAAGAGATGGGAAAATCTTCAATACACCTGTTCAAATAAATATATTAAATAATATTTCTTCAATGATTCATTCTCTCCAATAAATCTGGCTTTTTCTTAGTATGTTGAAGTAAATGTTTATTTAAAGCATTCTTATAATAAAATGCTGAGCTGCACACATCACACACATAAGGCTTTTCATCAGTATGAAAGCGTATATGTGAACGTAAATATCCCTTCTGAGAAAAAGCTTTCTGATGCACATCACAAACATGAGATTTTAATTTTGAATGAGTTACTAAATGTGCACATAAATAAAAAGACAGAGCAAATTTTTTGCCACATACATTACAAACATGAGGATTTTTTTCCGAATGAATAGCTAAATGCATACATAAGCTGTTGCTATGAGCAAATGATTTATTACATTTATGACATTCATTCATCATAAATGCAAGAGCTTTGAAATGTGCATGAACTGTTCTTTGGAGGCGGCCATGCCTGCTCACATCCTCAAGTGCCTAGGGCTCACCAAACAGGACTTAGCAGACGTTCCCTTGCTGGTGTTGGATTTTCTGAAAGTGTACAAAGTCATGGACCTGGTGTAACACTGCTGACCAATGGGGGTGTGCAACAGCATGACATTCATAACGTTTCTCATTAGCATGAACATTGTTATGTTGTGTTAATGAAGACTTTCATCCAAATGGTTTGCCACAAACATTACACACAAAGGGTTTTTCATTTGTATGAGTTATTAGATGACATTTCAAAATACCTTTATGAGAAAATGACTTGCTGGATATATTGCAGACATGAGACTTTTCTTCTGAATGACTACTTAAATGAAAGAGTAGGCTATTATAACAAAAGCAAATGTTTTATTGCACAGATGACATTCATACTTTTTCTGTAACTCTTCTTCCAAATGAGCATTGCCATGCACTGTTAATGTTTCTTTCCATTAAAATACTTTGCTACAAACATTACAGGTATAAGGTTTCTCATTTGTGTAAGTTATTAAATGGCTATTCAAATCATATTCATGAGTAAATACCTTATTACAAACATTACATTCAAAAGATTTCTCATCTGTGTGAGGGATTAAATACCTGTTCAATGCATTTTTACAAGTGTATAACTTATTGCAAATATTACATTCATGCTTTTTTGTTAAATGTGTTAAAGCATTCTTGCACAATTTATCATTTTCGAAAAATTCTCTGTTGCAAACATCACATTTTAAAAATTTTGGTTTTCCATGGTTTGCACTCTGCATTTGAAATATTAAAACAGAAGATTCAGGAAACCACCAGAATGTTGCATCAATCTGTGCTGCACATTTCTGCATCTCCGAATTCCACTATTTTCAGCTACGACTTTACTACATACGCGTGGATCCTGTCTAACCATGCTTCAGCCAGTATTCTTATACCTTGTAATCTTGATATGGCGTTAAAGAATGAGTTACCTGTCATGTTTCTCTCGCCTCAGGCACACTCACTCACTGAAAGCAGCTCATTTCTCATTCTTGCATCTGTGAAACAACAATTCTTTAGGGTTGTTTGGTTTGGCGCTTAATCGTCTTTTGATACTTAGGTAATTCAACGTAAAAGTTTCACATACAGGAAAATAAACCTAATTTTATTGCTACGTAAATCTTTGCGGCAGATTTACCTTGTAATGGATGATGCAGCAGATTGAAATGTAGATAATTATTGTATTTATTTTTAAAATTTTTTTAATTTTAAATATTATTTGTAGTTAATCCTTAAAATCATTTTATTTTCCTAAAAACTATTACTTTTGTAACTTTGTGACATAAATAAATACAAAGTTACTCAAAAAATAAACAATCATTTATAAAAAATTATAATTTGCATCATTAACAAGCAAATTACTATGACTTAGGACATCGATAAATTACAAAGAATTTTGAAAAATAATTTTCTCAGTCTGTACAAATTTGGTTTTATCTGTATATTAATGCACAACTTGAAATTGCTTTATCATTTTATTGGAATGAATACAAATATAAAATATCACAATTTTTTATAATTATATCCACATTTATCAAAAACTTATTAAAAGCATTGAAATATTTCTCTGAAATTCCATATTGAGTATAAATTAATGGTTTCTTATCGGTGTTTCATGGATAATTCTTATTTTAATTGACAAGGAAAATAATAGGATTGTGGAACAAAGGATGTGGAAAAAGCCGTTTAACATATGTTTCGTGCAACAAGCCTGGGTTTTCACAAAAGAATAAATTTAAACAGAACAGAGCTTAATTAAAGAACTTTGTCTTATAGATAATAGATGGCAGCACAGGTTTCATATTAATAGGATTCAATTTAATCTCTACTGTGTTTTGCTTTCAGCCAATCAGGAAGCATTTGCGTTTTGAGGAGAAGCCATATGCTGACACCTGTAAGCTTCTTGCTCTTCAGCTTCTCTTTTCTACCTGTTACAGCTGGCTTAAATCATTCGCGGAGTCATTTAAAATGTAATTTATACAACTTAAGCGGTGATTAAAAATAGACACATCAGTATTAATTGTAAAAAACCCAAAAAAATCTATTAAATTATATTCTCTTTTTCTTAAAATTATAATTACTTAATCATCTTGCTTCTTTTAAAAATGAACTGACCTAATACTAGGTTGATTTGCTATAAATAGAATTTCGCTGATGTGATGTGTACTGTGTACGATTCAAACTGATACTATATAGCTTTTTGTTAAATAAGTTGAATGATTTTCAACTAGATCAACTCAAAATTCCAGTTTTGTGAGAGATATATTTGATGAAAAATGTAATTCTTTGATGAGAAGATTGTATCCCTTGTAGGTAATGTAACATCAATTACAAATTTATATGTTATGGATTGTGTGAAAGTTTTATGCTTGTATTGCATGTAGTTAAACTCACC